CCGGAAAAAAACGACGCAGGGAAAGTAATAATATATATTTAATAAAATAACAAGAATTTAGAGATAATTATTTTTTCGTTTGATTTTACTTCTGATTATAATATATTATTATATAATTTTAATAATACCTTTACTATTGCGTAGTTTCTCAACAGTTTTTCAGTTTGAGCGATGATAATTCATTGAAATTATATTATATCGTAAATACCAGTTTGTTGTAAACTCGTAATACGTGTCAAATAGTCGATTTTGGGATTACATTTTGGGAAATCTGAAAAATATTAAGGCGGATATTTTAACAAAACAAAACCTCGACCCTACTATTCTTTAGATATATTAAATTTAATCCCAAAATCGACTATTTTTGCACATAAGTGCAGCTTTTGTTACAATTATAGTCAAATTGTAATCCACAGGCGTGTTTTTAATCTTATTGTTGAGACAGACGGCAGTGGCGCAGTGGTCAATAATACCCACATATTTATAAGTGGACTAAACTGGTGTCAACACAGCTGTCAACTCTCAATTAGATTATATTTTGAGCAGAGGTTAAATTCGAATTGCATTTTATGTCTGCATGTATGTGTGTGTGTGTGTACTACTTTAGATATTATTAGGGTAATACTCTACTGCAGTACAATATAAATTTGTGACTTGGTGCAAGAAGAGCCAATGTCACATTTTGTGATTGTTGGGAAATGGGCTTTGACATTTTAATTTCCTATAAGGCTCTGTGTATTTTGTTAAATGTAAATGTTTATGTAACTTTCAATTTTTACAAAAACTTAAATAATTTTTTATTTAAAAAATAAAAACTTTTACACTTTATTTTTTTTATATCTAACAATTTACATTGGCCTTTCTTGCGCCAAGTCACAGAAATATATATTGTAAATTCGAATCGAAAGATAAATCAAAATTCGAGCACTATTCAATACAGTATAATCTCTATTATAGCAAATATGGAAATAAATTTATCTATATATTCGTATTCAAATTAAGAAACTAACAATTTAGAATTGTATATTTTATTACTACAGGTATTTATAGTTTGGAATCTTTCTCTTTCTGAACAGTTATCGGTGGTTGTACCTATATATATATATGTAATTTTATAAAAACTAATATAACCAACTATACACATGTAATTGATTTCGATTGTGCGTTATCCAAATTAAATGTCTAAAATATTTTTACAATAACTATTTTTTATAGGTATTAATTTTGAAATTTAAAAATAAAAAATAGTTAAACAAAAAAGTATAAAATTATAAGGTACATACAAATTAATAATAAATATTAATATACTTAATCTATTGATTTTCGATACATACTAATAATAATAATACTCATAATAATTGATTATTATAATTATATTTGCAGTACTTATATTATAATAATTAAATAAATGTTATCAAATACGATAATAATATAGAATATATAAATCATAATTTTATAATGTGTATCAGCGATCGTTTATTAATTTTTTTTTTATTATAGCAATTATTATCTCAAACATACGTACCTACTAATAATAGGTACCTATTATTCATACTTGATATGATAATATTATAGTAAAGTTATTTTTGAAACAAATCGTGAACACTTTTCGTATCCACCCGGAATCAAAGTAGAATATATCGTTTCTTTTAAAAAAAAAAATATGAGACGTATTATTGTAGGTATCTCATTTATTATACTATACTGTAGTGTTGAACTTGAACCACATAAAGTATAAACTAAAAACAAATTAACGAGATCCGGGAGTTGATACTATATGCACGTTATAATGTAATTATTTAACCAATGATGACCTTGACATTCAAAAGCATTCTCGTAGAGATTCGTGTTATTGAAAATTTAGTTGTGTATAGAAAGTTATTATGTATTTTTACTCCGAACTTTACGATAGAAATGATATTATAAAACTACATTTTATCATAATTTATCATCACACACACTCTTGACGCACCGCATTACAACACTATCTATATAGAGTATAGAATAACTAATTCTCTACCAATATTTAATCACTTTCTATTGTGTACGAATCGATATTCTTATTTTACGACCTTTTTTTTTATTGTAATATGTTGAGTAGATAGTAGGTTATGTAGGTAGTAGTTTTTTATTATTACTATTGTTCGGAAGTAATTATTTTAAAAGTATGAAAAATAAAAAAAAATATTTGGACACCGCTAATTATTATTAAATTGTTATTAGTTGTATTATAATTGTTTTTATCAACTGAACAGAGACTTTTGGCAGTGGTGTATTCAAGGTGTTGCAAGAGTGTTGCACTTGCTACACCAAATAATTTTCAGATGTTTGCGGAAGTATGGTTTTGCAATACCAAAATTATTTAAGTTTGTAAGTTGTAATATGATAATATCAATATTATTAAAAAAAATAAAATAATAATAACAATAATGTGATTATCTAATTTTCAATATGATGATAAATATTGATGTACCAAGCATGGTCTATGATTTTCTGCAATAACCATTTGTTATAACTGATAAGCTACACGATTGCAGCACGATTATAGATAATTATCTATATCCGTGTCTATAACGACGTGCTGTAACCGTAAGTCGCGGACTACGTCTCGAGTAAGTACCAAATAAATAGGTATCACAATAAATATTGTGCTCATATTTGCTTTTATGATTGTAAATGAAAAAGTATGAATATTTTTGTCGAAAAGTATCTGTTTATTTATTTTTTATGAACAATATAAATTCAAAATTTAATAATAAAAGGATGGAAATTCCATAATTTTTTAAAATAAATTTTTTTCTGGTAAGTTTATACTTCATACTTACATATTTTCGACTTTAAACTATATATTATAGTACTATAATTCTTTATACTTTATACTTGTGTTTTACCTATTAAATACAAGATCAAAAAAGAAACAGAATATTAAAATACTAAATTTAGGTACGTAATTAGGAGATGAGAAAAAAATTGGACGGGGGGGAGAGGTAAAACTTATGAGACCCCTCTCATAATATTCAAGAAAGTGAGGGGTATGAACAATTAAATATCTTTGATCACATAAAAAACGTTGTAACATCGAAAATCTTAACCCAATTACGCCACTGACTTTTAGTACAATGTTTAGAAATATAAGTGACGAGGGACACATAGTATTTTTTATATACCACAATCATTTATTATTGTGTACGACTTATACTTAAGAATTGGATTTTTAATACTTTTGATTGGATAAGTACTTTACACATTTGACGCCACTGGAAAACATAGTATTAGAATTAAACAATAATCGTACAGGCTTTTTACGTTTTCCTAAATGTTTTCTATCGTTCAAACTAACACGGCAACAATTTCTTATCAAAAATATGCTTTTGTTCCGAATTCAAGGACACCAAACAAAGCGTTTTGTCTGATACAATTCTTTGATGATATTCTTATCGTCTCAGTGATACACGACTAGTTTATTCCGTATCATTTTTGCTTGTATTTTCAATGTGATTACAATATTAACCGTTCTATGTTTTAACTTGTAGCATAGCGTTATTTTTGACAGAGTCAACACTTCAATTTATTCGTTGAATGATATTATTTGTTCATGGTGCACCTGAATTATATTAGTAATCATTAGGTATATAATATTAGGCATACGTAAATCCAATAGATGTATTGTTTGAATAATTATCACCGAACCATTGAAGTCTTTGAAAATGGATTCTCAAATTTGTTGGACATTCGTTGAGTTTGTCTGTATATTGTCATAAAACACCATTCGTGTTGTCGTGGTTACTAATGAATAACATTACCTACTACTTAATATCTATTACTTAATATGTTCTAATATATGTTCGTATTCATTTGGCCTAGTTTTTGCTTAAATTGTTTACTAAAAAAAAAAAAAACTTATGTTTTAAAGTTGCGTGTGGATGATAACACGTTATATAGTTAACAGCGGACAAACTCTTCGTTTAATTATTGTTGTAGATAGAATATAGGTATATTTGTTGTTAGAATTTAAATATTGTAAACACAAATTTGTAAACGAGCCAATATTGTGAGTTCTGCAACGTGGTTTATAAAATATTTGGGTGCCCTTCTTCATATATTGAACTGACAAAATAGTATAATATAGAATGACAGAGACTGGATTGTTGGACATTGGTTATTTAAATAACAATAAATATTGTTGCATTAAAAAAAAAAAAACGTTTCTCAGTTTACTGAACAATTATTGTAGTTGTAAACGGGATATTTTGAATTTTTAATGTATATACAAAATTAATAGGTTTGGTTACCTAATTTATTTTTAATGATTTTATTTCCTAATGTTCCATCGTCGTCTAAAACTCATCATTATCACCATTAAATTAAAATTCGTCTTCGATTCTGATAGTTTTCTAAATCTTGCTGAATCGATATTAAATTTTATTGCCTTACTCTCTTTACTTTAAAGATAACAAAAAAAGATAAATATATTTATATTTTTTATACCAAAGTCGTAAAATAATTTATTAATGTCTATATACAATTCCAAATTATTGCTTTCACGTATATTAATTTAATATATTCGACAAATTTCAAATCATTCCATTGATTTTGTTGAATTTGTTAGACCTTTATTGATTTTCGTGACCAACTAATACTACATTGTGATACATCATCATCTATAATTAGTATAATATAATATGGTAACGGTGGTTGATGGTAGTGTTGTTTCTGTGACAATAGGAAATTTATACACGAACATATCGAATATGTAAGGAAAAAGTCGCAAAGAATATTACTGAATATTTAAAATGGTATCATCCCTTTACTAGGTAGGTCATGGCTACAGGTATCCACCCATTTCGTGACCCTGGTCACATATTTTAAGCCATGTCCATTTTAGTATTGTTGTGACTCTTGAAGAACCCGGAGTGGAGTCTTAATTAGTTTTGCACCTACATGGAGAAAACTTCAATTCAGACAAAAAAAGTTAAACAAACGGATATTAGTTGTTCTTAACCACGTGCAAATCAGGATAAACATAAAGGTATAATAACAATATAATATCAACAATATTATTACGTACTATTTGGATTCGTGTGATACCGTTTAAACCACTTTGATTAGTATACAGGTTTTAAAAGTGATTTTTTCATAAATAGTACCTGTAGTAACATTTCTATATATTTTATGATACTATTATTAATCAGACTTAGCGTTTATCATTAATAGTACTTATGTAAATATAGTATGTGGTATACATAATTAAGTTAATTACTCTGCAACTACAATTGAACACAACGCCATTATAATTACGTAGGTACGTTGAAAACACAATTTATAGGTAAAATTATATTTTGTATTACTATGATGTTTTTTTTCTGAATGTCAATAGTTCTTTTTCCAGAAATTTTGTATTAATCATCAACTTCAGAGGTGTTTTCGGGTAAAACATTTTATCTTGTTGATACATTGATTTTATTTTTCGATTATTCTTGTAGTTTTCTTAATAAATGGGAAAAATCGGATAAAAAAAAAATAGGAAAAATAAGGTAATTTAGTCAATAATGGTTTCTGTGATTTTCAATTTTGTTTTGTTTTTTGGTTTAATTAACGAAGTATATTTTGGTTTTACTAAGATGTTTATTGATTTTTTTTTTTTATACGGTGACAAAAATGTATACCAGAAATCTTGTCCTGTATATATACGTGTGGCACCTTTTCTGAAAGGAAATATTGTCTAGATGGTATATTAGGAAATCATTTTTTGATTTTTCAAGTGGTTTTTAGAATATCTGGGAAAACCCGGAAGGAAACGTAAGAAAAATGGGAAATTTACGAAAATAATGTTTTTTATTATTTTCAATTGTGTTATTTATTGTAATTCAGTTAAAAATATTCGTAGACTGGAAATTTGGGCAAAAAACTTATATTTGCCTATTTTTACGTGGTAAAACTGTAAAACAATTTTGTGAGTCATTTCTATTGGGTGTCCTGTGGATAAAATTGTGGGACAAAACAGAAATGCCTGAAATTTAACAGAAGGTAAATTATAAGTCATACTTTGTGGTCAAAACGAACCAAATTAAATTAAATATAGTAGGTATATTTTTTTTATAAGAATTTTAATATCAAATTTTGACGAAAATTGTTTCAGTGAAAAATTATGTGAAACAAATTTAGTTACTGGTCCATACAAAATGTTTCAATATAATATTTATTTTACTGTAATATGCCATATATACTATTGAAAAATCAATACTATTAACTAAGCTCCAGTTTTTTCTTATTAGTCATTAATTTTAAATTTAATTATTTCGTCCCCCATACCTCCATAGTCTTGAGACGCTCCTGGTAATAATCTCAATGCACTAAGTTTTTTTATTATGACACGTTCAGAAATTACATCGCATTTTTAAAACTTGTAATTCATCATTATATTTGGAAAACGAATTTAACATGTAAGAAATGGACGTACAAGTTTCTTGTATATTTATTATTAAAACTAATTACCTATATAGGGCACGCCAATATTTGATTCTGTATTATTTCGGATAGTTTAAAATTCCGTGTTATGTCCAATGATAATTGTAGCCGAATGATAATCTTACCAGTTTTACATAATAGTATATAGGTAGTATAAACAATTTTATTTTTGTGTGGACAAGTGTAGTGTGTTTGTTTTTACGTTAATATTATAATAAAACAATAATACCTATTATTTGAAACCTATTAGAAAAAAAGCGTTATTTATTTAATACACAAAACATTTAAGTAATTATAATTGGTAAATAGGTATTATTTGTGTACAATATTGTTCGATAATCGATAATTGTTATGTGTGTTTGGCACTTCATTTCAAAATGGGATTGATTTTTGCGATGCACCAGTTAAAATAACTGTGCTCTTTTTGCGTTATTTTGTTTTTTAAATATTTTACTTACCACGGTAATAAATATTAGGCGGGAGGAGGATACGCACTGACACCCCCGCAGAAGATCGTAACATAATATGTTTTTACTCTTTTATCGTATACCTGTAATATTATATAACTGCTGTACATAAAATAAAATCTTAAATACAATAAAGGTCTTTACTCTTCACTGTAACACGACCCACGCTTTAAACTACGTCTCGTTGTTCACAGTCTATAATATGCAAGGAAAATCCGAAGTACCTTATACTGTACCTACAGAATTATAACACAATTGTTTAGGAAAATATTTTTTAAATGATTGCAAACTATTGCCAAGGTGAATTTATGTTGATAATAATAATTGAAAATATTAATTGATACCTGTATCTATAGTAAATTTAATTAATAATATTATAATACACTGTTTTACCATCGGCCTTTTTGATACTAAAATTATATAATAAGTAATAGTAACTCGATGCCTCCTAAACTTTATCAATTCCTTTTTCTCTCTCTTTTTTTTATTAAAGTAACTGTTAAGTTTTTTTTTTTATTGTGATCTAGTTAGCAATAATAAAATAATATTGTGTCAACCACAAATTTTCGTTCTATGCCCTAATATTTTATGTGTGTATGCGTGTGACAAATTATAGGTATACCTTGTACCTCCTAATAATACATTTACAGCTTAACATAATTCATTTATGTAATCAATATTTTTTTCTTTCGTATTTTGAAAACTTTATAATGTTTAACTACATTCTACTTTATAAAATATTTCTTTAGTGACATTCTTGCTAGGTATCGATACTACACGACCTTTAAAATAAATTGTGTCTGTATTATATACATTATAAATACAAAAATATTGTTAAATAATTATATTAGGCAAACATCAATAATTAAGTACTGCGCCATTAAATATTTATACAAGTTTTTGTTTAGGTGCCGAGAGGTCACATTACTAATATTTAAGGGGCTGCGTATAGGCAATTATAACGAACATTTTTGAAAAAATAAATATTTATAAACTCAAATATAATGGAATTCATTTTAATTCGCTTTCATATAAATTTAAAAATAACCCAGGATTTTCACGAGTATTAACCATGACATTTGTTCGAAATCATAGTCACGTAAAACAAATAATTAATGTACACATCGAAGTGACTTTAGAACTTTTACTCATTAAAATCGGATTGCATGAAACTTAACAGAACCGATAACTATTTATTGGTTTTGTAAAATTAAAAATTGTTCTGTAAAATGAATAAATGTTATCCAACACAAGAGTTAACGAAACAGTAAGTTGTTTAACTGGTTTCTGTAGGTAGGTACTGTATGATTTATAAAGTTGTTAAACCGCAATATATTATTCTGTGGACAATCTCCTTATCGTTTATTTATAATTTTGTTGTAACCACACATATGAATAAAAAACTAGTTTGCTAACTAATCATAATAGCCGACGACAAAAAAAGTCATGTTGGTTGTGGGGTCTGTATAGTGTTATCATTGTATAATGTGTATAATTGTAAATTTTTCTGAGTTCATAAATCATGATAATATTGATATCTGTGTATTATCACAACCATAACAATTGATAAAATTGCATAGTCTATAACCAACATGGTGGAAAAGCGACGTTGCCGTAGATAATAAAGAATAGATAGGTCACCGTAATATACACAATTACTATTCAGAATGCGTAAGAGAAAAATACTATTTCTATAGACTGTTTTTTTCTTTCTGGCAGAGCGTATTTTGAGGTTATGTTCAAACCAAGATCCAATCTGAGTCACGAACATAATCTCAAAAAAAAAGCTAAAAAGAGAACACATTACACAGTTAATATCGCTTCCCCATTTCGGAACATGGATAGGAAATTCCTATTCTAATATTTAAATACGTTCATGAAACGCAGTCTGTTCAATAATTATAATTTTACATAATCGATAGATTATCAAATCAACAGTTTACAGAGCTATCTTCAAGTAACCCGGGATATTTATATAAAAATTCAAAATTAAAGACAGCAACATTAGGTATCCATGGTATATTGATATGAGCTCGTAATTCTTAATTCACTTGACGAAATGGTATAAATATTCAAGGTTAAAATCGGAAAATTACGAAACTTTCTTATGAATTAATATTTATCCGAGTGTATATGCTATCACTCTCTACATGTACACAGTTGCTCATCATAATATACTGTTTAATAATAAATCATTTCCAGATAAAACGATTTTTCGACACACGGTTTTTATGTTAGAAAAAAAAGCTCGTGTTGATGAAATCCTTTTATTAATAATCGATCAATACCGTTTATGTGCAATAATAATAATGTTAATAACTATATGATTAATGTTATTTTGGAAACTGATAGAAGTATTGTATGAACTTTCAAAGATCGACCAACATGTGCGTTATAGTAAACGTGTTGATTATATTATACAAAAACACAAAACAGAATTAATTATATTACAACGGTAATAAATCGTTTTAAATAATAAATTATTACGTTCGCGGTAAACATTAACAAAGCATGTGTTTTATACAATTTACACAAATGTATGTAAATGTATATAAACATAAAGCACGTTCTACAGAAAATCTGCAGAGAGGTAACGTTTTGACGGACAGTTGTTTAAAATTGGCGACTGAAAATTAATGATGTATACACGAAAATAGTTATTTATTTAAATAGTTTTTGCCAAATTGTGTATGCACGGATCTTTGTCTGTTTAAATAATAATAGTTCCAGCATATTTTTGATGGCAATGCTGAATTTTCAAACCCTACATTATTTGTACTGTACAGGTATCATCACATTAAAAATTCTATATTATTCTTGATATAAAGTGGGTAGTAGGTAGTTATATAACTATTATACATCACAATACTTACATATTTTATAATGTTGTAATTTAAAGAAAGTACACAATTGTAGTATTATGGCCATTGTGTATTTGTATGAAAAATGAAAATAAATAAACCCCAGTATATTATAACAAACTGATTTCAAAATAAATTTGTATTCCGTTTATAGAAGTATAGAAAATCAAATGTAAACCAGCCAAAATTATTGTTTCATAAGCTGTAATTGTCGGCAAATAATAAGTATCTGTGAAAAGTTATGAATTAGGCTTTCTGTTTTATATAGATATACCCACTAATTAATGACTTAAGTTTAAAACAATTATAATTAGTTTTACGTGTACGTAAAGTATGTTGTTTATAGTGAAATAGCGTAAATCTATGGGTATTAATTAAAGTGATAGATCTTACATGAACCAATATGAAGGCTCTTCATATATTCATTGAAGGGCATAGGGAAATAAAGAGTATAGTTATACATTTTTTCAATTTTTAAATAATGACCATTCGATGGTGCTTTGTTTCAAAGTTCGATTTTTACTTTTTTACGAATGGATTGAGATCCGTCCGTGAAAAAGCGAAAAATTTAGTTAAACATGTATCGGTTAAAAAAGATTATAGGCCATGCGGCTACAGAGAAGTTGATTACTGCTGAACATTATTCCAAAATAGGCTATTACCATTCTTCCCACACGTTTATCATATTATATCACATGAAGAAATGTGAATATTTTTTAACGGTTTGTTACGATTTGTTTACAGAATCATGGGTTATAAAAAAGACGGCCTGATTAAGGATCTATGGCCGAACATCCGGTTAATACAAATGTCCGGACTGTTCATATCCGAATACTACGACGATTATTCCGGACTGGCCGTGTTATTCCGGAAGATCTACAGCTGGATCGTCACTATAATCGTGTATTCGCAGTACATAGGTATCGTGATCTTTATGGTCACCAAATCCAACGATTCGGATCAACTGGCCGCCGGCGTGGTGACAACGCTATTTTTCACCCATTCGATGATCAAGTTCATGTACTTCAGCATGGGCACCAAGTCGTTCTACAGGACTCTGGGCTGTTGGAACAACACGTCTCCACACCCATTGTTCGCAGAATCTCACTCGAGGTATACGCGAAACGTTAAAAAGAGTTTAATAATTAACTATAGCTAATAAATAGATGAGAAATTGTAGCAGCATTGTAAAAAAAAATGTTTTTTCAAAAATGCTTTTTGGGGATAAAACCAAAAAACAAAGTTTTATAAGCTTCATTCATCGCCTACCTAAATTTCACATTCAATAGGTCATAATTCAAAAATCATTTTTTTTCATTTCAAATTATATAACATTATTTTTAATCAATATAATTTCTATGAGATGTTATTGTAATATGAAAAATAAATTTGAAATTGTACATACTATTTACGGGGATATCAAAAATAATTACGCATATAATTTCTGGGCAATGTGTTTAAATTTAATTATATCTACTATAATTTTAATGATATCAAACTATTCGGATGATGTACAAAGCTATTATAATATATTAATACATATTATAAACGTTTATACATAAAACAATGTTCGGATATATTATTTCTTATGTAGAGTTTTTAATACAAATACAGATTGGATTTACATAAATAAAATATAATGTAATAACTAATTATATTTGATAACCAAAAATTTGGATTTTTTGACTTTACCTACCGAAATATACGATGTGAAATACCTATGTGATGTTTTTGTAGTATCAGATATATAATTAGTAATGATTATTAATTTTTGTTTTTAATTGATAAGTACCTATTTGAAAGTTATTGATATTAAACAATTAGTTTAGAAATAGCATAGTGTAATAATATATGCATTACATTGTACATGTCAGAATATTTAAAACGTTTGTATTCTTCGAGTTATCTCATTAATTGTAGTAGCCATTTATAAATGTATTTAATTTTATAATTTTTTTAGGGAATTATCGTAATAGTTTGTTGCATCGTTAGTTTGCATTGTTACAAATTCCATGTTAGTTCGTAGACAGAAAGGGCTAAAAGTGCTAAAAGAAGGCAGAGGGGACAACTACTCAAGGGTACCGGAAAGTACATTTTCATATGACAGGATACGAAAAGGCTACGGGACTCAATGGCTCAGATAACGATGGGGAGACAGGATTATCAAAGATATTGGGAGTAACAATGAAAAGGAAGTGGCACACGATAGGGATGGGCAAAAGCGTTCGGTTATTGTGGCATTGGACCTGAATGGCCAATACGAGTCTATAATGGTGATGATGATGATAATAGCTGCAGAATCAGCAATACTTAATCACGTTAATGATTTCGATAATATTAATATTATATGACTAGGACAGATATTTATGTCTTAAAAAAAATTTAAATATATAAGCAGATATGCACTGAAAATACCAAAATATGACCTGGAAATAAAGAAAACAAATTCTTCGCATGATGGGTTGGGCCATAGTTGTAGGTTGGAAGTTGAGAAGGTAGGATACATTGGAGAATTTAATGTATGCAACGATTAATCTTTGCTAACGAAAAACGAATATGAGCGGAGTTCGGCTACATATGTTTTAAAAGGCCGTGTAATTTACAATTTTCATTAAAATTTGACATTAAAATTCTTATAAAAAAAATAATATATTAAACTCAACTTTATCTTGTTGACCAGTAATTAAAACTTATAAAGAACTTCCTGTTAAATTTTCAAGCATTTCTGTTTGGTCTAACAATTTTATCTAAATAGTACTAATCAAATAAAAATTACGTACAATTTCGCAAAATTTAAATGTCCATTAATAGCTCAAAAATGGTTCAAATGTTTTGAAAATTTTACCAGAAAGTTTTATTAGAAAGTTAAATAGAAGTTTTCTGTCCAAATTTCAAGTTTTTACAAACTTTTTGAACTATTACAAAAAAAATTTTTTTGTAATAATTAAAGCATTAATTTGGTAAATTTTTCCATACATTTCACGTTATGCTGATCACCCTGTGCAGTTTGGTACCGTTTGGTCTTGACTCACATTTTGGTATGAATTATAGCTATTTGTTTTGACCAACTAGCATACAAGTATATTCTAAATATCTGCCCAAATTTTATGATTTTAAATATCCGTTTCAGATTCCACGCAATATCTCTTGCCCGGATGCGCCAGTTATTGATTATTGTGTCGGTTGTTACGATTTTCACGACAATCAGCTGGACGACCATTACGTTCTTTGGCGAAAGTGTTTGGGAGGTGCCAGACCCTGAGACGTTCAACGCGACCATGATCGTTCCGATACCCCGACTGATGTTGCATTCTTGGTACCCGTGGGATGCAAGTCACGGTTTGGGCTACATTGTAGCTTTTATTTTACAGGTATCTATATGTTTTTTTGCGATCAAAATTTAGATCATATAATATAATGGATGGAGCCGTAGCCTTTTTTTAGTCATGCGATTAACTTGAAGTACTCATAAGCGATAAAATCGCCTGACTATGTGTGCCTCTGCGCATGCGCGTAACGTAATTATTTCGATAATTATGTGACAAGTATATCTATTTACGAAGGTGGAGATCACGTGTCCTATCAGAATTATCTTTGTTCAATGCACGGCCTTAGAAAGATATACCGTCGCCTATATGTGTTTAAAACTATCGAGGCGTGGCTCCATTTATAGCAAGTATATGGATCAAACAGTATTATGCAAGATAATGTTGAGAGGGTGTGTTGTCTTCGTCTTACAAACGCACGACATAGCGTTCAGTAGGGACAAGATTGTACTGTTAGTTTTAATAATAGAGCAAATCGACCTATTATCAAACTTCAAGACAAGAACATTATCTGTGCAACGTTGGTGATATTCCTTCGATATTTTCATTTTTAAGAGAGAGATATATTATGAGTATGTGAAACAGCATAATTTAATAATGCTTATATCTCGCTTGAAAATCATAATATCGAAAAAAATGGCGTTAACATTGCACGGGTAATGTGCTTGTATTTAAATTTAATAATAGCTCAATTCACTGTAATATTAAAATTAAGAGCACACATTTTTCATTGTTGAATGAAAATTCGTCAAGACAGAGATATCACATGCGGGTATCACGTTTTATATTTATAAAATCATAGAGGTATATAATGTGGTAAACGATCAACGGTGTATTTTTGTGAATCAGTCCGCGTATAATACGGTAGGTATGTATGGATTTTAATGCAGAACTCTCGACATTATTCCTTTATAAAAAGACAATTTTAAATAAAATCTAAGATTTATATTTTATTACCCCTGAGTAGATATTTCTAATAATAATATATAGTGTTTGGTTTTTCATCTCATTGATGATGGTGTGGTACCATCATATATTATACTATTATAAATGTATTGATAAATTAATATAAGATAAAAAATAATATCAAATATTATACAAATGATATTTTCGAATGTTAACGTATGTTGAATCTTTCGTATTTCAATAACTTAATACATCTTTTTAAAATTTAAATTATAGATAGATACTTGGTATGCAGGGTGATTCTTTTACCGTTGAAAACTCATTATTTCGCAGGATATAAACTTAAAAAAAAAAGTTTTAACAATTTAAGAAACAAACAGATTTAAAATGTTACAACACTATTTTTTTTTGCTATCCTTATTATTGGAGATGAAACGACTTCCAAACGTTTATTTTCAAATGGTAACCTATTTTAAAAGTTGCATATATAGATAGAGTATTAGTTTTAATAAATTTTAGTGTTGAAATTAATAATTTCATCACCAAAATTGATTTGTTACTTATAAAATGTTTAACATAGGCTATTATATGAACGTAAGTGAATGCTAACCCGTTTGAAAATCAAAAGTAAATAATGGGTTTACCTCTAAAATGAGGGTGACCAAAAAAATAGTAACGTAAATTTTAGAGCTTTTAATTTCCTAAATGTTTTAAAAAACAATTTCCGAAAAAAGTTAATACTTTTGGAAATAATGAGTGCCTTACGTTAAGTTGATCACTCTGTATACAAAATTGTGTATAGCATATTTCGGCGTTTTGGGATTTTTAGGTTTATTTCAGGATTTAGTAAATTTTAAGGAATTCACACATTCGTAGTGCATATTTAAGGAATTCGTACCTTTTAACATTACGAATTGAGAATCACAAAATAAAAATTGTTCGAGATTTAGAAATATGAGCGGGTGATTAACATTAGTAGGTTACTCGTGTTAAAATAAATTATTTAGCCATTACTTTCTCCCTATCCAAAATTAAAAGTGGAATATCTCGTGAACGGTTGACGGAAATCAAAAATTTTAACATTAAAATTGATTTAATCTAATACTTTATTTATATAAATATACGGAACTTTTAATATATAGGTTACAATTTTAAAATCAAAAGTCGGTAGTCGTTTCACCCCCATAAATAATATGATGAAATAATAGTAATATAATAATATTTTAGATTTGCTTATTTTCTAAATCATTTTAATTTTTTTTAAGTCTGTACTTTACATAATAATAAGTGTTCAACGATTAAAGAATCACCCTGTATACGTAATTTTTAATAACAGTTATAATTCGCTCTTTCTTTTTGTTTTAGTTTTATTGGATATTTATTACGCTCAGTCACACTAACTTGTTAGAAGTTTTGTTCTCGTCGTTTCTGGTGTACGCGTGCGAACAACTTCAACACTTGAAGGAGATTTTGAATCCGTTGATCGAATTAAGCGCAACTCTCGACTCGGTAGCTCATAATCCGTCCGATATATTTCGCGCCAGTTCGGCCAAGAATCAATCGATCAACGGTAACGGTGAGTTAACACAAAAATAAACACACACACACACACACATACACATACGCAAATAAATGACACATAGTGTACCTATTGTATAATATTATTAGGTATAAAAAAAATAAATGTATTATTCATCGTTAAAAATATTAATATTCCGTTTTTCAATCGTGTACCCATTAACAATCACTGTTTGATACAATGTAACAAACTCGTTTTTTTTAAATATTTTTTTATCGCCGTTTTAGTTTATGTCGATGTTGAAACACACGCGTATTATATTTTAATAATTATATAATATTATGTTCATTTGAATTTTATTAACATATTATTATTATTCGTTCATAAAATCTTAAAATATATATATTTTCTATTACAATAAAACCGCAGTAATATTAACGAGGAAATAAATCAAGTTATATCAATAAACTTTTATAGACGTATTATCGTGTATACTTTGGTATAGTCACATCAATAATATTAGTTAACATCAACATCTACTGAACAATATAAATTAAACGAGTTAGTAATGCATCTCCATTAATTATTTCGTTAGACGTTATAATATTTCAACTTGTACACAACTAGAACAGTAACAATATCAACGTCCACTCGCTGTACGTATGCATTATATTGCATTATCAATTGTAAGTTAGGTTAGTGTATTTTTTGTATTATCGCAATTGAATTACAATACGTTCAATTCGCATGTCGTATATTCCCGTGTGATTTAAACTAATCTATTTTATTGCGCGCTTAGGTATAGTTTTTGCGACCGACACGACGACCGATGTTATAATATAGGTGTCGGGTGCCTATATAATTGTTATCAAAAAAAGTCGCCCAGATCGAACCTCTAAATAAACGTGCGGGTCGAGATATTCTCTAAGAGTATAACGAGTAATGCGAATGTTTGTACTAGTGACGTCGCACGGTACTTGTGTATATATCGGCGGTCGGTAGATTAATGAGATCAGTGTTTATTTCAGACCTTCACTCCCGGGGAGGGGGAAATCGTACATTTCTAAGGGTGTATGCCAAAAGCAGAGCCAGATCTAGGAATTTCGACACCCGGGGGAAAAATCCAAGAAAATATATATTCAATGATGACTTTTTTTTTGTAGCTTGTTAAAATACGGTTATTTATGTAGTACAATAAGTTTTTTTTTTATTTTATGGTCAACAAGATGACTCATAATCATTAATTGGCCCATAACTCATTTCATATACTGTCGTATCATATCATATTTATGTAGTACTTAATATCAAATACATTTTCTAGGGGTGACACACATTTGTCTTTAATACCCCATGGTCACCCGCTGAAATAAACTCTGAATGAGATACACACATTTTTTGCGAGATGTTAATAAAATATAATTTTTTTTAAATTGTAATTATTGATTTAGATTTTATATTTTTTTGTATTTTAGAAAACACTAAAATACATAGTTTTGTATAAAATGAGTTATAATTTAATTTATAATATTTAAATGTAAGGACAGAGTTCATAAAAAAAAACGTATATTTTAAATTTCAAATAATTTTTAATAAATTGTAGCTTATGTACAAAGTCATTACATTAATTTTCTCGGTATCAATTTTCTCATTGTGATTTAGGTATTGTGATAACCTGAAGGTACCTATAAAGTTTGTTTTAAATTGATTTCAGTTTTATATAGTTAGTGATCATCAATTTTTACTAAAAATCATTAGTTGTTACTTGTTGATTATTTTTGTTAGAATTTTCTTATTTTAATACATATAGTAAAGGTAATTTTTTTTTTTTTGGTTATTCTATTGATTTATTTTAAAAAAAATGTTTAAAAAGTATTAAATCAAAATGATTTTAAACATTTTTAGGTGTTTTAACTACATCAACCGTAAAAGTATATACGACATAGTTAATAATAAAACATTTTATGATTTAACAATGTATTATTTTATACACTATTAAATTAAATTGATTTAAATTTCGTATTCTGAATGGAACTTTAGTATTGATTTACTAAGCTTTTTTTTTTTTGTTTATTTACTTTTTGTCACAGAAATTAATGGTTTTCCGTCTGTAAGATTAAAATAATATAATATAATTTATTATACTTATATACAGATGAAGTGGTATGAAGAAGTCAATTTTGCGGACATTTCTTAATAAAAGTGTCACCTTTGAAAATTATAATTAAAATGCAAACGCTCGCATATTATCGTTTAGATTTTAATTATAATTTTCGATAGCGTTTTTTTGGAATTTGTTAATTTAATAACGTTTCGGAAATAATAATAATACATTTCGTATAATAATTTATTTCAGTATAATCGTCTGTGCTGAAATGAGCTAAATGAACGAGAGTATAATTCTTGAAAATTTGTGTCGCATTATTTGGAATTAAATTACGTACGTCTTAAATAAAACTTGCATAATATATTTGGGTATTCTTTAAATATTAAAGATCACCGTGTTTGTAGAGTAATTTAGTAAATAAGTGGGTTAACTATCGGAGAGTTTTATTTATGAACTATAAATTATATTCAACTAACGGTTATAGTGGTTGGCCAATTTAATTGGAACAAATCTAATTATCCGGGACGTATTAACCTAACCGAATTCCGCTCAGAATCGTATATTTTTAGAAATGATTAATCGTTGCGTACAGATATACATTACATTTCTCCTCTATCTTCCCAGCTTCTCAACTACAACAGTGGTCTACCCATTGTACGAAGTATGTCTGTTTGTTTTTCTTTACAACAACGCATTATTGATTACATTATACGTTTCGCAATTTCATTTGTTTTGCAATAGGTCGCTGACTCCGTAAACTTTTTTTTTTTTTATTACATACGTCTCATGAATTGCTCAAAAGTTTAAAAACTATTAAAATGACAATATAATATTATGATTATATAAACATAATTATTATGTATTATACATTTTAGATTATAACGGGTCCTACGTGAACGAAATAACCGAGTACGGGACAAAAGGAGAGTCGGAACCCAATGGCAAAGGACCGAACAACTTGACTGCCAATCAAGAAGTGTTGGTCAGATCGGCTATTAAATACTGGGTTGAACGACATAAGCATATAGTCAAGTAAGGTTATATCGAGCATTATAATATTCAAACTTTATGTGTTAGTATTAGACATATCCAGTGGCCCCGATCCATATGTGTTCGTTTATTTTGGTCGCCATATGAGCAATGGGTAGTTGGGCGGATGAAAACTGGAAAAATGTGGAAAATTAGAACAAACAATTAATTGTGGTTGTGGTAATGGAGGGGGAGGGGGGCGATTTCGGCATACACGATAAAATGGACTTTGGAGCCACTGCAGAACGTACCTACTTAAAAAAAAAAAAAATTAAACAAAAATTAATAAAAACCCGTGTTGTTGTTTTGTGCGCAGGTATGTGAATTTAATTACCGAATGCTACGGGGCCTGCCTTTTATTTCACATGTTAGTGAGCACCGTCATCCTGACCATTCTCGCCTATCAAGCGACCAAGGTTTGTTGGATTGTCATATATAAAAAAAAAAAAAAATTACGTTAAAAATACATTTTTAGCGATTTGATAAAATTAATAACACTCGTATTATATAAGTGTAATTAAAAAAAAATAATTATTATTATAACAGATTATCTCGAATACCTACTTACCTATTTTATTCGTGATAAATATTATAACGGATTAACGGTTTTCTTGTTTATCTATGATTACTGTGTATTAATCATGTTTTTTCAAATACCACTCAAAACACTCGAAGTTCGACTAGATATAGGAAAAAAAAATATATTATTCGCTTCACTCAAAATCTAAAAAAAAAAAAAAATACCAAGAGCAAACTCTTTTTATACTGCATACTTATGTATGTATAGACATTCAAAAACTAAATAATTAGCCGTCGATCATAACAATAATAATATTATTTTCCGTCTACATATATTTACTATATTTGTATTTAAGTAACAACAATTATAACAACATTATCGTTTATAACAGATCGACGGGATCAACATATTTGCGTTTTCTACCATCGGATATTTGATTTATTCGTTCGCTCACATATTCATGTTTTGTATACACGGCAACGAACTCATCGAAGAAGTGAGTGTTTTTGAAGCTTTAAGGTGCTTTCACATGACATCGTGCCGTCTATTGATCATGCGATTCTGGTTAAGATGGTTGAACCGGGTCTCTGGCAGTTATAGTGGTGACTTCAGATAAGCTATATCAAAATCAAACAATTTACGTTTTATACTTCAAAATACAGTGTTTAGTATTTTTAAAATTTCCTATTTGCTTTTCGATACAATACGTACCAAATAATATTGTAGGTATTTACCTATACACATCATATATACACACCTATATACATCAATTAAACTAAAGTTGTATTACCAATTAACTGTTACAAAATGACATTATCTAATAACTTTCAAACACTTTCTGTACCTATCCATATCCATATTTAGCGCCCTACATGCTTGTTAATATAATGTAGTAAATAATAAATAACACCAACTATAATTTGAAAATGTGTTAATATTATGCGCTAGTCATGTAACCATCGCAATCAGAAGCCCGCCGTATTGAAATATTTCCAACTCAATAATTTTCATTTTGTGAAATGATAAATGGAATTTGTAACCAAACGCGCAGCCAATCAAAACGTTAAATTTTCAAGACGACACGACAAAGCGTGAAAGTGCTTTTTAGATTACCTACATATTATAGAGTTTGCTCGGAAACTTGAAATTTTTTTGTTTTGTACAAAATCACCTGAATATTCATTCTAATAATGTACTTTGATGGCACGAATCACGTTTTAATTTTGTTTTTTTTTTGGCCGCCTGTTTTCATAGAGTTCGTCTGTGATGGAAGCGGCCTACAGTTGTCATTGGTACGACGGCTCTGAAGAAGCTAAAACGTTCGTTCAAATCGTATGCCAACAGTGTCAAAAGCCACTGATTGTGTCCGGCGCGAAATTTTTTAACGTCTCGTTGGATTTATTCGCTTCGGTAAGCCAACATTTACATTTAGTCAGGCTTGAAGGGATTGGAAGCGACGAGTTTCTGTCTTTGTCTTACACGCGTGAGGTATAGAGATTCAGACGTGTTTTACGTCTGAATTTCCCAAGTATCGATTGATTAAGTGAAGCGATAAGAATTCTGAAAGCAGATTTAAATTTGTCGTGAAGTCTATTTGAGATATCAAGTGGACTTAAAAATTAAATTTAAATTTAAATTTATCTCCTTAAATTCTAAAAAAAGCCATACTAATAAAAGAACAAATGAAAAATGAAATATTTAAATTTTTTGAGAAATTAAAATCAAAAAGTGGGAAAGTCGATCTCAAGTATATTTCACGGGAAATTCAAATCTGTTTCCAGAATTCTTATCGCTTCACTAGATCAATCGCGGTACGTTGGAATTAAAACACGTCTAAATCCCTAATTCTTACAGGTGTAAGAAACTCGTCGCTTCCTATGTGCTTAAATATTCTGATAAAAATAAATGTATAAGTATATATTATAATATACTAGTGCGTAATCCGATTTCGTGTATCAGCCGATAATAACAGCTCTGCGCTATTTCCGCCCGTGCGTTTTCCGCTCAACACCTTTTTTTATGCTATTTCTGCCTGTTATCCTAATTTTTACCCGCTGAAATTATAATATAAAGTGGACTATTAGCTCAAATTTAAAATTATACAAAAATTGTATAAATATATCAAATCATTATAGTTTTGATTTCGAATTTCAAACAAATGACAAAATGATAGATTTAGTTATAAATTATATTTCAAGTAATTTTATTACCATCATAATAACTAATACAATACATCGAATTCATCAATGGAAGGCTATGCGCTTGAACTTCGTACCAGTAAAAGACATACAATTTATACATATTTAGATTAACATATCAAACAAATAAATGAAAATTTCGAAAAAGATAAAAATTTAAAAAAAAGTTCATAATTATGATATGATATAATTAATAACTCGTTGTACAATATTTAATACACGTTAATTTACAATTTTAAATTTTTACCGGATGGTTCACTTTACGTAATTTCAGCAGATAAAAATTACGATAGGTAACGGGCGGAAATAACACGAAAAAGGCGATGAGCGGAAACCGCATATGGGTGGAAAGTGCACGCCACCATAATAACAATATTGGTTTTTTTATAATCGATATTTGACCCGATCATTTCGAAAAAAAAAACGTCTAATGTCTTTGGAATACCTAAGATAAAACCGTTCCTATTAATTTGACCGTTTTTTTGCCGATGTATCGCGGTTAGTATCAATATCGGCCCACCGTTTTCAATTTAAAATATCGGTTATCGGTTTTATGTCCGAACGTATTAACATCGGCTGTGTTATATTTTTATAACATAATTTCACAATATTTGATTATTCATGCTGTTTGCCGACTACATAGGTGAATAATAATTATTCCAATTTATGGAAATTATTTGTGTTTTTTTTTTTTTTCGCGCAGGTTCTCGGTGCTGTAGTAACATACTTCATGGTGTTGGTGCAGCTTAAATAATAATAATACAATATATACCTATAATATATTATATTATATATATATATATATAAAAAAAAAAAAAAACCGGTTCGCGATAATACGTACTGTCGTTCTGTAGACATAATATTATTTCACTTGTATGAGAGTTGCATATCAGCGTAGGCGTGGTTAGATAATTTTTGCAGGGGCGAGAAAATTTCAGGAAAAACTAATTGTTTCAAAATAATTGAATTATGTTTTATATTGTGTAATTCTGTACGGTCTAAATGTCGTCTAATGTTTGGTAATTAATTTTTCAACACTTTGAATTCTTCAATGAGTTCATCGCAGTTAATTTCAGTCGCGTAAGGTGTTGTTATATTGTTGTTCCATACATATCATCAGCATCGAGTCGAGTATTTCATGTTAATGTGGCATATTAATATTACACCTCAATTTTGCTTGCGCAATATTCAATTTATTTAAATTGGCGCCGTTCACTAGAACAGTTGCCAGTATGTGATATGTATGGTTACAAAAGTTAAGAGCACTTTAAACATATTTATTAATCAATGTATTGAAACTATCATACTATTTTGATCATTTTCGGACCCGGTGTTTTTGTAGTTTATTAGGTAGGTTGTAATAGTTCTTTTCAAGGTGCTCGAGTAACTTCATTACACGTATTTCGGCTTTTAATTCATCTTCATTTGATAATTAATAAGTGATATCACATAATATAGTATCACACATAAAAACAAAATTGTTCTTAAATTTTTTCAATTCTTGTTTATAACTTAATTTCCAATTTGAGAGTCTCTCGACATGTCTCGCAGGGCGCGCAACTGCACGTCCTGCACACTCCGTAGTCACGCCTATGCAAATAAGTAATACCAACTTTATATTATATTTATTGTTTTACTTTATTAGAACTATATTATAATATGATATTAAAGTAGTATACAAATACGTATACGGTGGCGTCGTTATGATATTATTATTATTATGTCGAAAGTGTTGAAAAATTGATTTTAAGAAGTTACAAGTGAAAAAAATAAATATAGCGGGAGCAATATATGTAAATAACATTTAAATATTGTTCAGTTAAAGTGTTTAGAAATGAGTACATAAATTATGAGTACGGGATCTAAGTTATACTTTAAGGTATGCTTAACTCTATAATATGTTATACATACATTTTATATTATTCAAAACATTTTGTTTTTAGTTGTGATAATAATATTAAATTTTTTTTTTTTGTTTTTGTTTTTTTTTATGAGTTATTTACTATGATTACATATAATATAGGTATTATAGGTACTTATACATACGTATGTTATAATAATAATTATTTTTAAATATTTATATACATTATATTTTACGAAATTTGTGTAAACTGAAAAAAAAGCATATAACAGTTATATTTGTTTGTTATTTAATGCAGAGCGTGTGGTCGTTAAAGTTAAATTATATAATATTATACATTAGTATACAGGGTATCTGAAGGATTCGACAATTTTTTACGTGATTGCATATCTGAACGTTTTGAAACCCTGCAGATATATAGCCTGTATAGTACGGCCATTGTTTGACACGATTCGTTGGCAATAAAATAAATACCTAACATTATAATATACACATAATGTGCGTTAAAATTGTCGATTAGACGTTTAAACTGCAATATTGTAATCTACACAATATATTATACGGTCTGTGCAGTGTAGTCGGACGGAGGAGGGTTAAGCGGTTAAACTCCCTTAACCGCCCACCGAAATCCTCCGAAAAATAATTTTTAAGTGTATAAAAATTAGACAAATTATTGTTGTTTATTCGTTAAAATACCGTAATTAATTAAATGAGTCGGTCTAATAAACCATTGAAACATAATAGGTTTACGATTTTTTAACCGTTTTGTTAATATAATGCGGAAAACAGCATTTTTCGTGAAGTTAATGAGAGCTTTGAAAAATTAACCCCCATAGAATAATTTATTCATAAAGATATCAGTGTATACACTATGTATATGGCCATCGGAGAAATAAACGAAAACAAATGTTAGAATGATATACATTTTATTTTGTCTTTACACAGTTTTCTGGACAATATTCTTTTACGAAACGAACAATATTATTTTATTACGCTTTTAAAATTGTTTGTGTATGAAAATATCAAGAAAAAAACAAAAATCCGACAGGAAACAGATATACGCGTAGCACTGCAGTTCGTCTCTCTTCACTCACCTCATCGGGAAGAAAACCAGTGCTACGGTGTATATTATTATCTTTGATATTTTTTGGTGCGTTTAAAAGCAAATGCGAATCGTTGAGTACGAAATCCGATTGATAGTAGTAGAATTTAGTTACATCCCAGTATAGTTTATAAAATACGTTTTCGATATAGTTTTAAGCAAAATATATAAAATAAAATAACGATTGATCGTTTTTTTTTTGAAACTTTTATATAAATTGTAACAAATATGACATGATACGAGTAGAAATAATCGCAAGTCATAATACTCTTGAAATCAGAAATCGTATCAAAAGAAACCAAACATATTTTAGAGTATTAAACTATATTATATAATATTACTGTGATACAACTGAAATAAATATTAACTGATACCAGGGAAGGGTGTGTCACTGTTTTCAATGGGAAGTTAAAAAGGTAGGATACATAAAGTTTTTAATTTATATCTGTAAGCAACGATAAACCATTGCTAATGACGGACAATTTTAAGCAAAGTTCAGTTATACATATTTTGAAAGGTCGTAATATTTACGATTTTTATTAAAATTAACTGTTATAAAAAAAAAATACCACATTCCGGTCAATTTTTTTTTACCACTAAGAACTACTTATAATAAAGCTCCTGTTAAATTTTCAATCAATTCTATCTAGTCTAACAATTTTATTCATGTAAAAATTGGTTCTTTTTTTAATATACGATTTATTAATAATTTGTCATTCGGATTTCAGTTTTGAATTCATTGGTAACTCTTTCCGTTTTAAAATTGCGCGACATAGAAAATTTGTGTTCAGTAGAACACATTTTGTTCAGTCAGTTTTAGTATTAAAGCGAATCGACCTATTACTAAACTTAAAGGAAAATAGATTATCTATGTTGATGTTTTTCGATATTTTAATTTTTACAATCATTTTTAAACTGAAAGCGTCTTAATTTTAAGTCGTATTTAAAGGGGCATTGGTTGACTATGACGCCTAAAATAAAATGCTCTACTTCTGTGATAGCAACTGACTACTGAATTTACTGTTATCACCGTCTATCAAGATCTACGAAGAGTAAGATAAATAAATGAATAAATAAATAAATACATTAATGATGTTATAGCGAAAAAAAAAGCTTCAATAATATTAAATCAAATAGGAACCCTAAAGTACTATTCTATGACATATATTGTATACGTATTATGTTTCGTAATTCGTTATGTTCTTGACGATCAAAGTCCATTTGAACGATTTTCAACATTTATTGAAAATTCTGAACTTCGACTAAATAAATTATTAGAAACAGTTTTGGAGGTACTATTTTGACATAGTATACTTATGAAAGGTTGTAAAGAGCTGAGTCATGATAATGCGAGAAACGTGTCTGAACAGTACTCGAGATTACAAGTCCAAGTCATCTAAAAAAGAACCGTATACTTATCATAAAAAAATATACGGATAGATTCCTTATTTATTCAAGCAACCTGATGTCGAATCAGTTAGTGAGAGTAGTTTTAATATTGCTAACCGTTTCACTTCTAACATCAAAAGTGACAAAATATTTAATGTTATCATTTTAAATATAATATGCTCTTAACTGAAAAGTCTACGGATTCATCATAAACAATATAATCTTTTCTGAAAAAAAATATTTTTTTGGTAACCAGAAAATCTAGAAAAAAACTATTATGTTTTATAAGTAATTAATACAATTCTTAATTATTAAATACTATTATTTTTATTGTATATGGTTTATTTTTTGATTAAACTCTTTCAATGTAAAATGCATAGTAAAAAAGCTCCAATCAAAACAACAACAGACCTCTTTAAAGGTCATTTTTGAAATTCTCATTATTATCCGAAATAATAAAGAAAAGCTAGTCTTTTGGTTAAAAAGATTAAAAGATTAATAATAAGGTCATTAGCAAACGTTTTCATTTATTTTTTGTTATTATTTTAATCTTTTAATCTTTTGTTTTCGCGAAAATGCACATTGTTGAAAAAGCAATACTATTGAACGAGCTCCGCTCAAAATCGTTTATTGTTATCAATGATTAATCTTTGCGCACAGATATTAATTAAATTCCCTTCTATAAACTACCTTCCCAACTTCTCACCTACAACAGTGGCTTACTCGTGGTGCGAAGGATTTTCGTCCATTTTTTATTTTTCATAATACTCTTTTGATTAGGGAAATATAAAAAAAATGTTCACATTACACCTAAAAAGATGTGAATTTTTTCCGGTATTACTATATTTGAAAATTTGAAAAATTGTCCATTTTTAATAGTATCTTCTTGAAATTTAAGAGGCAAGTAGAATAAAAGCAACACCATTATTTAATTATAAATGTATACGCGTTGATTAAAATATTTTTATATTGAAAGAGGGTTAATCGACTAATTTCTAAAAAAAATTGGAAACGGCAATTGTAGGTGTGGTTAATGTTAGGTTAATTTCCATTTTTATTTGTTCATAATTTTTATTAAATCTATATTTTATTTATTTGTTTTACCACTAATAAAACCAAACCCTCGTGAGTAATACCGTTTATGTTTTATATACGAATATGTTAGACTAAGCACGGACAACTTTTGAACGAGAGGAAAAAAAATTCGTGAATGTGATGTACCTAAATAAAACCCATTCAACGACGGCAACGTCTAAAAGCCAAAAGATTGCTCAATGTAAGAAAACATATAACTTATCTGTTTTTATAATGGTATCGTATTAATGTGTATATCATTACGTCATTACGTCATAAAGTGTCGGAATAGCGAGCGTTTTACACCAATATAATATCATTATAATACACACGTTAAGACTGCGCGGACATCAAAAACGTCTTCAAATATTTCTTTTGTCGGATTTCTCTTAGATCTGCCGAGCATCATCACGACTCGACCTACATGCGAATTTCGTAAGGCACGTACATAAATAATAAGTATGATAATAATATTATACGTCAAAATAGGAGCGATAGTTTGATATTCCGATTCCAAAGATGGGCAGTAACTATAGTTAAGCAAATAAAAGTAAATTTGAGGGTTATTTTATTAAAAATGTATACATTTTGTATGAAAAATTAAATACCTATGGTTTTTTTTTTTGTATTCATTTCTCGACGAAAATTACTTATTTTTACGTGAAATGTAAATATTATCATAACATTACGGGCACGTATTTCGCTTTTTCAAATTTGATGAGAAAACTACTAAGAAAATTGAAAAATAACTTTCTTAAAGTACCTTCCCATGCCGATATCCTTTCATAAAAGGTGCTACACGTAGAAATCCAAGCAAGTCTTCTGGTAGAAAAGTTGCGTACATAAAAAAAAATAAACATCTTTGTAAAACCATAAGCTTTTTCGCTCTGCTCAGAATCTAAAATAAATAACTTTAAAATTTACTTAAATAACCGTTATCTTTAAAATGTGTAACTTAAATTAATAATGTGTTACTCGAATTAATTATAAATACATTAAAAACAATTTTAAGATGGATTA